TTCCTTCACTTTGCTACCATTTTGGAATTCCTTACTAATATATAGATTTAAAAAGAATGTGCAAAAGCAGAGAATGAAGAAATTCTTTTGTCTGTGAATTCATTCTTTAATTTTTGAGACAACGAACACAGACTTCATCACTTCTGCTTGGTTTCATAATGACACAGAACTGCAGAACCTTCTAAGTCACTTCTACCTTCCCCTATAGGCCACTGAGTAAATTCCAGTCCTGTTGGGGTCTGTGATAATGGTCATCTCATCTTTTGTTACTCAAGTCCCTCATTTTAATTTTATTCACTCTTTCTTATTGCTTCTCCATTTTATGTTTCTTTCTTTATGCACAGTGTGAAGTAATCTTGTTTTTCCCCCTAGATTTTTATATAACAACTCAACTAATTAATTTTAAACTTTCTTTTCATGTGAGTCTTGCTAAAGCTATATATTTCCCTCTAACCACAGATTATATTACATACCACAATTTTTGATATTTTTTACATTTTTTTTATTTAGTTGAAATATTTTCATATATTCTTTGCGATTTCTTCATCTACTGGATTATTTTAGAAATATTTAATTGATTTTCTAATATTTGTGAATAATCTAGTTGTCTTTTTGTTATTGACCTCTGAATTAATGTCCATTGTGGTGCAAAAATATAATTCATATATATATATATATCTTTTGAAGTTTATTGAGACTTATTTAATAATAATATTTTTAAATCTCTTGTTTTTTTTTTTTAATATTTTTGTTGTATTATTTTCATGCTGTACACACTTCACAGTTAAAGCAAGAGTGTTTAGGTGTTTTACTATTATTAGTTGGTAATTGAGATGCCTCTATAATTTCTTTAAAATTATATTTAAAAACAGATTTTATTTTATCAGTAATAATGCTGCTTCTGAAAAATGCCAAATATGCAAAGTATGTTCTGTTTATAAATTAAGAAAAAGATACACTATTTTATTATTTTCAAATCAGAACACTGTATATTGTTGTCAATGCTTAGCAATTTTGTGGTGAGGAAATAAATGTTTGAAAGGTGATTAAAACAGTAGTATCCTAACTGATGTCTGTATTTATTGAGATGGAGTTTGTATTTATATTTGGCTGCAAATAACAGAAAACCCAAAGTAATAATGGCTTAAGCCAAAGAAAAGGTTTTTGTATTTTTATGTTTTTATTTTAGAAAATTGTTTTAATTTCTAAACATTCTATTAATTGTGTGGCATTTCACACTATATTTTCACATTGATTTCTGCATATTGGCTTACATTTCCAAGATAATGTCATAATTCATGATGGAAGCTGTAACTGCAAAATTAAATTAACCAAGTTTATAGTTACCAATGGAATAAAGGGTCACATAAAGCATGGCTGTCAACATTACCTCCTAGATCTTAAATTTATAGCTTCATTTAAAGCCAATCATCTAACCTTATATCTGCCCACTCCTAACTTTACAAAAAGCTAAAAATGTAGGCATTTCTACAAGGATATTATATATTGAACTGAAAATCAGAGGTTCTATTATTATTGTTATTATTTTTTTAATGAAAAAATGGGGAATGGGAATATCCAGAAAATCCATGCAAAGATTTAAACTGCAAATAATTCTCCCATTGGATATAATTATGATTGATCTTTTCTTTGTAATGAAAACATTAATTTATTACCAGAAGATGTATGGACCATTTTGCACTTTGCATTGCCTGGTTCTCAGTAATGTTAAAGTTCTATTGCTTTCTCAACTTTTGATTTCTGGCATTTAGATAGAAGTCATCTGAACTGTTGGCAATGTAATAATAAATGTATTCATTATTGTTGATATAACTGAAGAGTATATTTAAGCAGAATGTGACAACAACAAAAATATCAAAACTGGTAGTTTGTTCAAAACTCTCTAATTAGTAGCCCTCATGGGAATAACAATTTTCCTGTAATAATCTGAATGACTAGGACTCTATGGCTTTAAAAGTCAATAACTTCATATTAGTTATATTTGCTATCAAATTATAGACCTTCATGATTATATTCTCTTTACTTGTTAATGCTATCCAGAATAATAAAAATTATAGTGAAACATTGGCCCAAAAATCTATACAGTTTTAACCATACACTCATTAATTTTTTTAAAATAATCATTGAGCTCTTATCTTTGTGCTAGTGAACAAAACAATTAAAAATACCTTTTCTCCTAGAGCTAAAAAATGAATAGAACTAATAGATAATTAATAAATAATTAATATTTTAGTTTTTGATACATATTTTGAAGAAAAATTAGTGTCACTAAGGGAATAAAGAGTAAGAAAGGAGTGGCATGCTACACAGGTACTTATAGATGTCACCTCTGTGTGAACACTGAGTAAAGAATTTGGTATTGGACCCTGCAGTTTAGACGGTACATTTGAGTTAGAAAAACAAATATCTGAGTTGTTAGGTATTGGTGTTATTTAAAACCTATAACTTAAAAGGATTGCCTATGAGTAAATATAAAGAAGTGGAAAAGCCCAGTCTCTTTTGTTAATGCAAGGGTATTACGATATTTGGAAGTCATGAAAGGAAAAGGAAGCCAAAATGAAACAGAGATGGACCACTTTATGAGGTAGGAGGTGTAAGAGAAAATGGTGTCACAAATAACTATAAGTCCCAATAAAATTGTATTGATTAATTATTCAGTCCTACTGAAAATATTTAATATGAATTTGTGCACAGCTGACACTAACAAATTTAAACATTTTGTCTGTTGTGGAATGTTATTAAATAGCTTTATTCTCAAGCTAGGCAGTTTATGGATGCAATGATTACATAAAAAGTTGAACTTTAATGTATTTTTAGTCATTCCAGCGGTGTGAAGACCTTTAGTAAGTGCAGCATGGAAGATTTTTTACATTTTATTTCAAAACCAAACTCCCAATGTCTTGAAAATCATCCACTGTTAGATCCATCATACAAAGCTGCAGTTTGTGGTAATCAAATAGTGGAAGAAAAAGAAGAATGTGACTGTGGGACTCAGGAGGTTGGTACTAATTTGAAGGAATACATACCAGAATTACATCAAAAGTAATTACTTTTTATAGTGTTTCACTGTTATTTTTCATAATTGATCAAATTTACTTTTCTACAAAGACTTTAAGAAAGCATATAGGGATTTTAGTAAACTAATTAGTGTGCTTATATATTAATGTACAGATTTAGTGGTTTGTAGATTATCTGTAAAAGTGATTGTCAAGATCATTAATCCTATGGCTGGGTTGACCTAATTTTAAGCTGCCCCTCTTGTATATATTCCTTGTATTTATTCTTAACCTAAAATCCTCTACCATTCAGAAAGAGGTTTTAAAATTGAGTAAGAAAACATAGGAGGCATATTTCTGGCTTTCAGTATTTTAATCCAAGTCAATACTTCAGTCAAAAAGATTTGGGCCATACATAATCCATAAAAGCTGGTTTTCAAACTCACAGAAATCTTACAAATAGCTTCTGGATCAGAAGGAGGTGATAAGAGAAGAGATAAAGGGAATGCAATGAGGGAAGGAGAGGTTGAGACTCACAGTGAGTGGTATGAAGATGAGAAAATCAAGAAGACATGAATGGAGATCAGTGTTCCCTACTGCAATAGCTAAGGTCATTCATGTGTACTCTCCTCAATATGAAAAGTGTGTTTTTAGATAACTAGTTGGGAGATATGCTTTTAAGGAATTATTTCTCAGCACTCACCTGTTTCTTCTTGTTTGGATCTAAATGGAAGCACCTTGAAAATTTCTAATAAAAATTGACAGTAGTGTTCTTTGGTTCTATTAAATATCATGTAATTGAGTCCAAAGCCCTGTTATATAATTTAACCTGCTGGAATCCCCTATAGATAGCAATAACAATAGATATAGATTAGGCAGAATAGTTCTGGAAAATAATGAAAATTTAGTGTGCCCTACTAAGTATCATGCTATGAATCATATAGATCACTGAAATATATTATTTATATTTGTGTAACTTATTTAAAACTGACTCAATTAACTTTTTAAAAAATTCTTGGGAATTTAAAAAATTGTGTGTGTGTGTGTCTTTGAATGTATCATTTCTCCAACTTTCTTCTTATATGTTGCTTTTATTAAGCCTAATAATAGAATGGAAAAGAAACATAATCATTCAGCATAGATGAATTACAGCATAAAATACACGGCGTCATGAAATAGGGATGAGTGATGTAAACGTGACAATTTCAGTCATGTTGAGAAATATTTTCTAGTTCTTCATCTTTAGAGAAAAGTAAAATAAGCTTTGAATATCTCATAAAAGTTATTGACTTATTGAAATACAGTACGTTCATAAAGAATGAGTAATAACTAGTCACTCCAATAAAATTGTTAAGTTGTGACTTTCATTTCATGTCATAATTTAACTGTCCCTGTCTACAAGAGCCAGGAAGCTCCTGGAGGCTGGCTTTGGTGGCCTCCAGGAATTCAGAAAATCCTACTACCAATATAGTTAAACCTACTCTAGGGATATAGACAAGCTAGCACATTTTAGGTAACTAATATAATTTTTGTTAAATGCATGAATAAATAAGTAGGTGCAATTTTTTGTTTGCCAACACGTATGTTAAGTATCTGTCTATATGATGTTGATATCATTAAAAGATGTACCCAATGTTGCCCTGGTAGATTTGGCTCAGCGGTTAGAGTGTTGGCCCAAGGACAGAAGGGATTGAGGATCTATTCCTGATCAAGGGCACGTACCAAGGTTGCAGGATCCATCCTGGACCCACTCAGGGTCATGTGGGAGGCAAACAATTGATGTGCCTCTCTCACATGATGTTTCTCTCTCTCTCTCTCTCTCTCTCTCTCTCTCTCTCTCTCTCTCTCCCCCACCTCCCTTTCACTCTATCTAAAAAAATCAAGAGAAAAATATCCTCAAGTGAGGATTAACCAAAAAAAAAAAAAAAAAAAAAGGTACCCAATGTAAATAAAAGTTGGAAGAGCATTTGGTTTTTCTTTCAGCAATGTGCTCAAAACCCAAACGAATGCTGTGTGTCTGGCACGTGTAAATTAAAAGCAGGTAACAATTGTGACAAAGGACCATGCTGCACAAGTTGTCATGTAAGTCTTCTTAAAATTTCTATATTACCTATATAAGTAAAGTTATCATTCTTTATAGTATCTATATGTTTACTTTCTGCTTTATTCAATATATTTAACTCATCCCATCAGTTTACAGAAAAAGGACAATTATGCAGGAGTGCCGTTGATGAATGTGATCTCCCTGAATATTGCAATGGATCTTCTGCATCATGTTCAGATGACTTGTATGTTCTAGATGGTTTTCAATGTGATGAAAACAAATGGATCTGCCTAAATGGAGTGTGTAACAGTTTGAAACAACAATGTATGGCTATATTTGGTAAAGGTATTTATTATAATTTGATTTCCTGTATATGCATTTTTCTAGAACCTGAAAAGAAATAGATATTGATATATAATAGTGATTTTTATTTTTATTATTATTTTTTTTGGTATGTGCCCCTAGAGGGAACTGAACCCGGGACTCGCTAGTCCGCAGGCCGACGCTCCAATCGCTGATCCAAACTGTCCAGGGCTGATTTTTATTTTATTTATTTTTTATTAATTAATTTATTTATTTTTGTTACAGAAGTTTCTCTTTTTCTCCCCACTGATTCTCCCTTTCCCCTCCCTCCCTGCCCTGTCCCCAGCTTTGTTGTCTATGTCCATTGCTCATGCATACATGCATATAAGTTCTGTGGTTTATTTCTCTCCCCACATCCCCTCTTCTGGGGATTGTCAGTCTGTACCCCACTTCCATGTCTCTGGGACTACCCCATTCCTTAGACTGTTATGTTCATTATATTCCACAAATAAGTGAGATCATATGATACTTGTCCTCTGTTTGGCTCCTTTTGCTTAGGATAATACTTTTCGGGTCCCTCCATGTTGTCTCAAAGAATAAGAGATCTTTCTTTCTTACAGCTGCATAGTACTTCATTGTGTATATGTACCACTGCTTTTTTATCCATTCATCTACTGATGGACATTTGGGCTGTTTCCAGATTTTAGCTATTGTAAGTAGTGTTGCTACAAACATGGGGGTACATATATTCTTTCTGATTGGTGTTTCAGGCTTCTTAGGGTATATTCCTAGAAGAGGGATCACTGGGTCAAATGGAAGTTCAATTTTTAATTTTTTTGAGGTAACACCATACTGTTTTCCATAATGACTGCACCAGTCTGCATCCCCACCAGCAATGTACTAGAGTCCCCTTTGCTCCACAGCCTCGCCAACACTGGTTTAATAATTTGTTGATGGTGGCCATTCTGACAGGTATGAGGTGATGCCTCATAGTTGTTTTAATTTGCATCTCTCTGATGATTCGTGATGTTGAGCATTTCTTCATATGTGTCATAGCCATTTGTATGTCCTGTTTGAAGAGGTGTCAATTTAGTTCCTCTGCCCATTTTTTAATTGGATTCTTTGTCTTCCTTTTGTTGAGTTGTATGAACACTCTATATATATTGGAAATTAACCCCTTATCTGATATCTCATGGGCAATTATGCTCTCGCATACAGTTGTAGCCTTTCTGTTTTGATGATTGTATCTTTCGCTGTGCAGAAGCTTTTGAGTTTGATGTAGTCCCATGTGTTCATTTTCTCCTTTGTTTCTGTTGCCTTAGGTGATGTATCACTGAAAATTCTGCTGTGTATGATGTCTGAAATTTTGTTGCCTACAGTTTCTTCTAGGACTTTTATAAATTCATGAGTCACATTTAAGTCTTTTATCCATTTTGAGTTTATTCTTCTGTATGGTATAAGTTGATGGTCTAGTTTCATTTTTTGTTTATTTGTTTTGCATATAGCTGTCTAATTTCCCCAACACCATTTATTAAAGAGGCTGTCTTGACTCCACTGTATGCTCTTGCCACCTTTGTCAAATATTAATTGAGCATATTGCCTTGGGTCCATTTCTGGATTCTCTATTCTGTTCCATTGATCTATCTGACTGTTCTTGTGACAGTACCAGGCTGTTTTGATTATAGTGGTTTTGTAGTATAACCTGATATCTGGTATTGTGATCCCTCCAACTTTGTTCTTCTGTTTCAAGATTGCTGTGGCTATTTGGGGTCCTTTTTGGTTCCATATGAAATTTTGAAGTATTTGTTCTAGTTCTGTGAAGTATGTCATTGGTATTTTGATGGAGATTGAATTGAATCTATAGATTGCTTTGTGTAGAATGGACATTTTAATTATGTTAATTCTTCCAATACATGAACAAGGTATGTGCTTCCACTTTTTTATATCTTCCTCTATTTCTTTTTTTAATGACTTGTAGTTTTCTGTGAATAGGTCCTTTATTTCTTTGGTTAAGTTTATTTCTAGGTATCTTAATTTTTTTGCTGCGACGGTAAATGGGATTGTTTTTTTAGTTTCTCTTTCTGTGAGTTCATCATTGGTGTATAAGAATGCCATCACTTTCTTGACATTAATTTTGTATTCTGCTACTTTGCTGAATTCATTTATTAAGTCTAGTAAATTTTTGATGGAGTTTTTGGGGTTTTCTACGTATTGTATCATGTCACCTGCGAATAATGACAGTTTCACTTCCTCCTATTCCATTTGGATCCCTTTTATTTTTTCTTCCTGTCCAATTGCTGTGGCTAAGACTTCTAGTACTATGTTAAATAAGAGTGGTAAAAGTGGGCATCCTTGTCTTGTTCTGTTCTTAAGGGAAATGCTTTTAATTTTTACCCTTTGAGTATGATGTTGACATATAACTGATTTGTTACAATAATGCAATTATAAGTATTTTAAAGAATTACAAAAAGAGAAGAGGAATACTAAAAGGTAAAAAATCATAAAAGTTGTCTGGGAATACAACTCTGATGTATTCCCATAAAATGATTAAGGGAAATTATTTAAAATCTATGAGATATGCATTCAAGAAAGAAGAAGGCAGCCCTCGCCAGTTTGGCTCAGCAGTCAGAGCATTGGCCTGTGGACCAGAGAGTCCTAGGTTCTGTTCCTGCTATGGGCACATACCTGGGTTGCAGTTTGTCCCTGGCCCCAGTTGAGGTCCTGTGGGTGGCAACCAGTCGATGTGTCTCTCTCACATCAATGTTTCTCTCTCTCTCTTCCCCACTTTCTCTCTCCTGCTCTATCTGAAGATAAATGCAAAAATGTCCTCAGATGAGGATTAAAAAAAAAAAGAAAAGAACGAAGAATCAGACTGAAGACAAGCAGCGGATCATCTGTATCATGTCCTGATAACTTTTATGCTCAGAATGGTCATCAATAGCGCTGCCTTAATGAAAATTGTATGAGTAAAACACAAAACTGTGTGTCATTCACTCATTCACTCCATACCCATAGTTTTTTTTTTTTTTTGTAAATATAGAATAAATACATATGCCTGTGAGCATTAAAAGGTCATAAGTATAAGTTGACATATGGATGCAATTTAAACTACACACAGACACACAGAGATAGATGCACACATTTGCACCAGGAAATTATGAGGATGAAACTCCCAAAGAGAATCCTAAAAATTAAGGAACCATGCAGCCATGTAAAATGATGTTTTCTGAGATTGAAGGAAGCTATTGTACAAAATACACATAGAATCATTTGCTGAAAAAAGATGGAAACAGTAGCAAATGGCAACATTATTGCATATCTGTATCACAGGAATTAATAACAGTTGACAGAAAAAATAGTTAGGATATTTTTAGAAACAGCCAGGTGGGTCAATCTTCTCTCAATTGGAACAGGTAGTAATGCCTACTCTAATTTCTATGTTAAAAAAAAAAAGTTGTGAAGTGATTATCAACTCCCAAAATGAACATATAATCAGAATGACTATTAGTTTGAAGAAAGCTAACACAAAGATACAAGAAAAGAAAGGCATAGAATGAAAAAGTGTCCTGCCAATATAGCAGGTGATTGGAAACCATGTGAAAAAATTAAGAAGAAATATACATATGTAGTATATAAGTGTATATATGTTGGAGGGAGAAGATTGTGAATTGAAAGGTATACTGGTTAAAGTTTAAAAATAAATTAAAATATTAGTTAAATCACTAAAAAGTAGAACTTCTGTTTACGCTGGCAGATATAATTTACAAATGTATTCCAGTGCTAAAAAGGGAGGGTATTGAAATCATTTAAACTCATATAATTTACTTTCCAAATTTACCTTTGTAGAATTTGTTGTGAATAGTGTCCAAAATAAGGGAGACTAAACCAAGAGAAAGAACAATTAAGCAAGAAGAAGAAATTATCACAGAAATTAGTAAAAGTCATTGTTGACTAATATACATATCTTTTAAAATATAAAAGATAAAGATATATTGTATATTTTAAAAGTTAAAGAATATGAAATGAAACTATTAATGTCAAAAATATGTTAACCTCAAGAATAAAATTACAAAGTTTCACCAGAAAAATAAAACTGAAACAAACTCTATCATTTTAATAAAATGCAACACACAGAGTAATTAAAAATTAGCATATAAATCAAGTATTGCTTTTATAATTTAACTACAAGAATAATAATAAAATAATATAAAACTTAAAGCTAATAAAGGAGAAGTAAACAAAATTAATAAAAAAGTTTAACACTCAGGCAAAAGTTAAAAATGAGCATAGAATAGGAAAACAAATACTATGATAGGTTTTTCACATGTAAATATTTAGCAACTGAATTAAGATAAAACCTATATTAAACACTAACCTTATGAAAAGGATGTAGCAAATAGTGACAGATGCAACTATGAGAAAATTACTAGAAAAATCAAGAATACACTGCATTGATGATATTTGAAAAGCATTAGAGTACAGTAAAAAAAAGACATGCTAATGATGTAAATTTTCACAGGAGAGAATCTTTACATCTCTTAGGGGACAACAGTCAGTCATTTATATTACTAGAGACATTTGCAGATTTCAAAAGTCAAAGACGAGGCTTGGCTTTGGCCGAGATCTTTCACTAGAAAACAAAGCTAGACTAGAAAAGTTTCAGAAGCTGGAATTGAAGGGGGACTGTCAAAACCATAGACTATTTTTTGCCATGAGGCATTCTAGAGCTCTGATGCTGCTCAGGAACTAAGTCACTTAAAATATTTAAAAGGCATTGTAAATTTATCTGAAGTCACAAAATGATCAAAGACCAAACGTTGGAGGAATCTTGCCTCCAGAAAATCTTAGCCTTCTCCTAAAAGCTTTTGCTACATTTTGAAGTGCCTGTGTTAATAGGCTAGAAAACCACTTTGAAATTCTCTAAGGGGGATATATTTACTCCTGGCAGACTTTCAGTGAAGAGAAGATAAAATACTTGTAAGGTTCTCTATCAGTAGTTGCAAGAACCACATGTAAGATTATGCGATTAATTCAGATAAAATTGTACTTCGGCCCTGGCATAATTGCCTGATTGGATTTAGGTGATCACTGCATCACCCATTTAAAAAGGTAACACAGAGAATGGAAAGAAGGAAGCAATATTTAGAGATAAGAACCACTACTTTTCGAAATAAAACAAGTCAACCCACAAATTCAAGATGCTCTAAAAATCTTAAGAAGGGTGTCTTTAAATAAAAAGCACAAAGACATCATAGCAAAATTTCCAGAAAATAAAGAGAGGAGAACAAAAGTATGGGTGGTAGGAAGGGGCAGTGGAGGTATAATATCTGTAAAGAAGCAAAAATGAGTTAACCATCTCATTTCTCAACAATTACAGAAGCTAGAAAAAGTAGGCACCTCTTAAGGCTAAAAGAAAATGAGTGTTCATATAGAAGTTTATGATGAGCAAAAATATCTTTCAAGTCTTTTCAACAAGTGAGCTTGAACAATGGTGTATTCTTATTCAAAATAATAAATTTGAACCCCTACCTCATACCAAACACAATAATTAACTTAAAATGCATCATAAACCTAAATGTAAGAGCAAAACTTTTAAATGCTTAAAGAAAAACAGGCAGAAATCACAGTGTCCTTGGATTGGGCAATGTTTTTTCTTAGCTATGACACCCAAAGCATAGATGACAAAAAAAAAAAAAAAAAAGTATAAAGGTGGACTTCATCAAAGCTTTAAAAACATTTTGTTCTTCAAAGTATATTATTAAGAAAGTGAAAAGACAACCCAAGGAATGGGAGAATATATTTGCAATGCATATTTCTGATAACTTACTTCTGTGTAGAATACATAAAGAACTCATTCAATTCAACAATAAAAAGACAAATTACCCAATTTTAAAAATGGGCAATGGTTTGATTAGACATCACATGAAAAGACACAGATATGTCTAAACATATGAGAGACATTCAACATCATTAGTCATCAAAACCACAAGATACTTTTTCACATTCACTAAGATGGCTATAATGTATTAATTAAATTTATTGGGTGACATTGGTTAATAGGGTCATATAGGTTTCCAGGGTACATTACTATGATACATGATCTGTATAGCACATCGTGTACCCACCACCCAAAGCCAAATCATCATCTGCCATATATTTGGCTCCCTTTGCTCTTTACTACTATTCACTCTCCTTCCCTCTGGTCACCACCATACTGTTGTCTATCTGTATTTCAGTTTCATTTTTATATCCCACATGTGAGTGAAATCATATGGTTCTTAGCTTTTTCTGACTGACCTATTCCATTTGGCATAATATTTTCAAGATCCATCCATGTTGTCACAAATGGCAGTATTTTGTCTCTTTTTATGACTGAGTAGTGTTCCATAGTATATATGTACCATATTTTCTTTACCTAGTTTCTCTGTTGAAGGACACTTTGAGTGTCTGTCTTCATATTTTGGCAACTGTGATAATGCTTCAATGAACATAGGGGTGCATATATTCTTTTGAATTAGTGTTTCAAGTTTCTTAGGATATATTCCCAGAAGTGTGATTTCTCGGTCAAAAGTCAGATTTTTTTAATCTTGTGAGGAAACTCCATACTGTTTTCCACAATGGCTTCATCAGTCTGCATTTCCACCAACACTACACAAGGGTTCCATTTTCTCCACATCCTCTACAACATGTGTTGTTTGTTTTTGTATGCCATACTTTTTTTTTCTCTCACCCGAGGTCATTCTTGCACTTACCCTTAGAGAGAGCAGGAGGGAGAGAGAGAGGAAGAGAGAGAAAGAAACATTGATGTGAGAGAGACACATTGAATGGTTGACACCCACACGACCCCAACTGGGGCCAGGGACAAACTGCAATGGAGGTATGCACCTCTGGAGGGAACTGAACCTGGGACTCTCTGGTCCGTGGGCTGACACTCTAACCGCTGAGCCAAACAGACCAGGGCTGTATGCCATACTTTTTATTTCCATTCATCTCAAAGTATTTTCTAATTTCCCATGAGATTTCTTTATTTCTGATGCTTTGGTTATTTATAGGCATTCTTTAATTTCCATGTTACTGCATTTTTCTTATGTATTTTTCTTATTGATTTTTAAATTTAATTTCATTGTATTCAGAGAACATAATTTGTATAATTTCAATTCTTTTTAGTTTGTAGATTTTCTTGAATCTAAAATGCATGCAGAAGAATGGGTATTCTGCTGTTGGATACAGTGTTCTACAGATATCTGTTATGTCTAGTTTAGTTATAGTGTTGTTTTAATTTTGTGTTTACTTGCTGATCTTCTGCCTATTTGTTCTATTTATTATTAAAAAGTTGGGCAAAATCAACTATGTGCCCTGGTTATGGTACTTTTACAAAAGCTAAAAATAGGTCAGGCCATTTCATTAGCTGTGAGCCAGATTTTGGTTACCATGGCACTGAGGAGAGATAAGAAAATTTCCAAATTAAAACATCACAGGTCCTTTTGTCCTCTCAACTGTATTACCCCGGATTCCATCAGAGAAACAAAATCTGTAAGGAATATAATTCTTTTTTCTGTATGTATATGTATATGTATATGTATATGTATATGTATATGTACATGTACATGTACATGTACATGCATAGGTATCTATCATCTACCTACCTATCAAAATCAAGGAATTGGCTTAGGCAATTCTGAGGGTAAAATCTTTTTTAATGGGCGATACTGGAGAGTTGAGACAAAGCAGAGAAAGAGCTTGAAGATGATGTCCATCATCCTCCATTCCTTCAAAGAACGTCAGTAGACCACTAGATGTATGCCAAACCAGATTCCTTTATCTCAGGCCAAAGCTCCAGTATCAGCAAAGAATTCTCCCTTTCACAGAGACAGCTTGTGTTTCATTCTGCTGTCTGTTCGTGGCCCTGGGGCTGGTAGCCAGCCGAACTATCTCTCTGATTGTTACCATCCCGTGGCACCCAGGAATAGAAGCTGCGGTGGCCACCAGAGCCAGTTGATTTAAAAGCTTCCCCTGGGCAGAAGCCACAACAACTGGAGCACCCAATCAAAAAACCATGGCACCAACCTGTGTGAAAGTGCCCCTCTGGAAGATACTGGTGCTCTGGAGCCTGGCTGAGTGCACCCACCCTCTGAGATCTCTGAAAATTACAGTAAGCTTTCAGATGTGTGTTTTAGTATGCAGGTACCATGGTTCTCTTACTCAATTATTTTTAAAAGATAGATGTTTTTATTTTATACTCTTTCTTGACATACTTATAAGACATACTTATAGTTCTAAAAAATTCACTGTTTGCATCTTTTCTTTTTATCCTCACTCCAGGATATTTTTCTATTTATCTTCAGATAGAGTGGGAGGAAGAGAGAGAGAGAAACATCAATGTGAGAGTGACACATTGACTGGTTGCCTCCCACATGACCCGGACCAGGGCCGGGGATCGAACCACAACTGAAGTACGTGCCCTTGACTGAAATCGAACTCAAGACTCATTGTTCTGCAGGCCGATGCTCTAACTGCCGACTCCAAACCAGCCAGGGCACTGTTTTATCTTTAATGATTGCCTTTGAGAAATTCTGTTTTCAGTCTAAATGCTTTTCTTGTATAGAGATTACTATCCATTTCTTTTTTTCCTGTTAGGTACATGAAATGAGAGACTAAATACTTTAAATCAGAAATGGGTATTTGTTAAGGTTAGAGTTTAGACAAGGCTCAGTGTACATGGAGTACACTGTTGTTTCCAGGGCATAACTCTCCAGGGTTTTCAACTGAGAGTTGCTATATTTACTGAGACACCCCTCCCTGCTGCCACAGCACAAAAATGGTAGAAAAATCTGTACTGTTTTATGGAAGTCATCTTTTTACTTATTAATCTCCTGCTTTTTACATGTTTAGAAGCAGGAACAAGCCTTGGTGGGTGGGACTAAACTATATGTGAATGCCTCTTGAGTCTCTAGTTTTGTCCCTATAGTTATGAAAGATCTCCAACTTTGGCTTATTTTATGCCTGCCAGCAATTGCCTGCTTCTCTTGCTGAGCTTACACTTTTGACTTCTCACCCGTACCAGGTTTACAAATGACAACTGGACAAAATCCACTGCTTATGTTCTGTTCACTACTGCCTCTAGGAGTTTCAACTGAGATCCTGATGTGTCTAACGGGGCTCCTCTCTTAGTGTGTCATTTTTTTTTAGCATCACAATGCAGTGGTTAAATCTTCCTATCAGAGGGTTTTGATTTAATCTAATCCTTCAACTAAAGTAGAACTGATGATGGAGGGTTACGGTAAGTAAACTGTTCTTTCAGTAGGCTGGATCTTATGAGAATTAAACACATGCTGTGTATGGATCGGATAGTGAATGTGAAGATGAATCAATTGTGGCTCCAAGATTTTTGGTCAGAGGAAATTATGATGAAAAAATCAAGATATTAGTTTACTGGCTTGGTTTGAAAAGTCAGGATTACTGACTTGCAAACACAGATTGCTGACCAATAAGTCAATTATTTTTTGTACAAGTTTCCTATATACTTATAGATATGTACTTCTAGACTTACTAAAAATGAAGAGATAAACTGAATATCATGTTCATATCTAAAGTATCTGGATATTAAAAGAGGGCTTTTAATTTCTAAATATTTCATTGAAGTGGTTTTAAACCTAGTTTTTGTTTTTAGTTTATATTATAATTTTATTTCGTGCAATGTATTTTAAAATGTTAACTGTATTTGTCAATTATTTTAAATTTATATAAGTTCAATATAACTAACCACACTTTTGTTTTTCCCCTAGACGCATCTGAAGGTCCTCCAGAATGTTTTCAGGTCCTTAACGCTATGACTAATGAATATGGCAGTTGTGGTTCAGATGCTTCAGGATACAAAAAGTGTGACACTAAGTATGCTTTACAAAATCTATCTGAGAAACTCTATTTATTGCCTTAAATTTGAAAATATCACCACATAAATTTATATGAAATAAAAATATCACCTGGCCATGAAGTAAGACTGTATTTAATCAAGTTAGAGCAATGCTTGACATACAGAATGTCTGAGCCTCTTTTTCTCATATATCCAAATTACCCCTTGTACCTTTCCACAGACTGTTTAATTTACACATAGGATGACCATTCTTATAGTGATGAAATAAAAATCCATGAATTTTTACTATCCAGGAAGCAGTAAAACACTGTGTTTAAGAACATGTACTCTACAGCCAGACATCACGGCTTATCAACTTGAATGACCTTGGGTATATGTTTCACTTTTTTTATATATAAAATATAAATATCAGTTTCACCAACATCACTCATCTGGTACTAGTCTATGAAAAGCACTTAGAATGGGACTGACACACAGTATGCACATCACAAAGTACATCTTAGTACATTTATGAGATGGTTTTCCATGTGCTCAAACCCAGAATACACAGAGGTTTGTTTCATAATTGCTAAAGTATATACTGACTAAAGGAAACCTTCTATTATGACTATATTGTCTCTTAAATCACTGGTAATTTTTATGTAATTTCTTATAAAGTACTTTTCTGCTAATTGCAAAATTTGGGTCATTTTGATATTGGTATCTAGAGATTTATTTGCTCATTGTCACATTTTAATTTTCTGGTATGCCTAGCAATTTTTGACTTTATATCGGATACTATGAATAATATACAATGGAAACTATGCATTGATTTATGCATTTCAGAAGGCTAAAACATTTTGATATGGAAGGGATTGAACACAGCTGGACTCATAAACAATATACCTCTCTGAGCAGTAGCTGAAAACAGTGTTCATTTCTTATGACTCCTCAAGCATTTTATGAATTCCCTGGAATGTTCACTTTCATGCTTAGTTTGGTGGTTAGCCAGGATTTAAGATGATGTTCATATGCGTATCTTAGTGCTCAGTACCTTTTAATTTCCAGTCACCAAATTTACATTAGGCCCATCTTCTAATTCTGCTCTTTGATTATTCAAGCTAAGAAGATTGAATATGCTCTCATGAATTTTTTAGAAAGCTACAATCCAGAATATCTCATATGCATTATCCATTCTTAAGGCTCAATTATCATTCAAGTCTTCCCTTTCTGTTCACATTCCAATGTGTGTGTGTTTGTGTGTGTGTGTGTGTGTGTGTGTGTGTGTGTGTGTGTGTGTGTTAGATTAGAATTTTACCCTATCTGGAATCCATTTCAACCCACTTAACTGTAGACATGATTTTTATGTCAAGATCTGTGTTAATGCCTTCCAGCCAAAAAACTACCAGGAAAGCACCCATAGTTAAACAAGTTGGGTTACTTACGTCTTGCAGTCAGTGAGACTTCATACTATGGGAAACTGTGAAACATCTTGGCTCCAAAGGTTTAGAGACTTATAGGATTTGAGCTTGTGTTAAGTGATTTTCAGTAGGGTTTCAGGAAGTGGAACATTGCTCTGAAGTGGATGTTTTCAGGAAGAGAAGGTAATTCTGTGATTGGATATTTTAATAAATCATATTTGAAGAAGGAAGACTAGAGTGAAGGTAAAGCTATAATTGGTAATAAAACAATAGTCACTCATATTAGTTGGATGAGAGGGATGTTTGGTAATTTTGTTGCTTGGATCATGTTTATTTCTTCCCTTTCTATGTTCAGACATAATTTATGGTGTGTGGGCTTGCATTTTTCTTGATCCACCATGGTCACTGAATGGCTTTACCTAAAGTTGATGTTCTTGTAATTGCTTGTGTAAGTTCCAGGTCTAGGAATGAGTGCAAGTCAACTTGTATCAACTTCAAGGCCTTCCTGTTAATATGAGACCTTCTCCTGAATGTCAGAGGCTGCTTTTCTCTTTTTCATTTTCTTCTTTTGCCCAAAGGGAGAAAAAAAAAAACAGGTCATAAAAAATTGCTTGCCTTTCTCCACCAAAAAAATTGCTCCAACATACCTAGATTTTTACCATTGCTAAGATTTTACTGAGTAGTAGGTTATTAAGAGAACATAGTATATAGTTGGGCTGGGGTTAGTCTCTCCTGCCCCTTTGGAACAGGATAATACTTTGAATCCTTTGATGTAGCAATGAGTGTGTGGTAGCCTTTATAACACCAAACAAAATTCATAGGCCAAATAACAAATTTATGGTATAACATGTGCTATAAGCACATGCTCACAACAATCCATCAGACATAATTTTGAGGATATTCATTTTGTCAAAATGCTGCACATACCTTAAATGACGTACATAGTGATAACTCCACTATAACAAATTAGTATATAATTTGTTTACTTTTGTTTATTAATGCAACTTTGACCCTTGAGCTTTTACTTCTAAAATTATTCAATTAAAAATTAAACAGATGTTATATTTATGCTTAGTAAATATTTAGGAGTTTAGATAAATTTAACTGATGCATTTTAACAGTTTATTGTTCTTATTTTTTATTAGATAAAATACAGTTTCCTACCTAACATGTATGCAACTTATAGATCCTTTACTGCAACTCCTTATCCATGTGTCTTACAAAAGAATACTACCCTTTCAAATACAAGTTACTTGTATGTAAAATAGGATCAATAATACTGTCTCTTCCTATTTCATAGAAATTTTAACATAATTTCATTTTCATTATAAACATCTGAAAACACTACTGTTTTACCCTCATGGAGTTTTGTTTAAAGTCCAGATATAACATAGCATTCTGAAGATAGAGTGTATGTAAATTCCTTTGAGTCATTTGTCTTCATTTTGCTTTTTTTTTATTTTTGCATTTTTATTAATTTACATGAGCTAATAATTGATTGCAGTTTAGGTGTACAACTTGATTAATATTTCCATCATGCAAGTATGTTCTCTCCAATCTCTGCCTGTGTTTTTATCTAATGATGGTAGATGAATGTAGTCTGTCCAAAATTTTTATATAAATGGACTCCTAGAGTATGCATATTTTTGTGTCAAACTTGATATACTCAGGATGATTTTTGAGATCCTAATAGATTGCTCTCATATTAGTAGTTTATTTTCATTGATGAATAATTGTAAATTATCACTGAAAATTTTTGGGATCCTAATAGATTGCTCTCATATTAGTAGTTTATTTTTATTGATGAATAACTCTAAATTATCACTGAAAATGATATATACAACATAAATAACACTATTAGTTTATCCATCCACTTATTTATGGTCAATTATGTGATGCACTGTTTTGATGTATTATGAATAGAGCTGCTATAAACCTTCAAGGAAGGTCAGGTCTTTATGGTGAGATATAGTTTCATTTATATTGGGTAGATAGATACATAACATTGTAATTGCTGAGTCATGTAAGTTTATATAAACCTTTTTTAAGAAACTGATAAATTTTTTTTCAGAGTGGCTGTGCAATTTTATATTCACACTAGCAGAATCTGAGTCCTTGTTTCTCCATAATGTGCTACTTGGTATTATCAGTCTGTTTTATTTTAGTCATTCTAGTTGTAAGTTATTTTTGTTTTAATTTGCATATATATAATTAATAATTATTTTTAGCATTTTTCTAGTTTTCTTGTCAATGTGTGAATCTTCCTGTGTGAGGAATCTCTTTAAATTGTTTTCCATTATATTTAGATTAGTTTAGTCTTCCTTACATTGAGTTTTACCTTTGTATCTTTTATTTCTGAACTAATTATAGATTCACCAGAAGTTGCAAAAAAAAAACATAGAGAGAATAGAGAGACCCCTGTACACTTCAATTGGTTCCCCCAAATGGTAACATCTTATTACACTTGTCTGTAGTACAATATAAAAACCAGGAAATTAGCACTGGTAAATTCATACACCTTACTCCTTAGATTTCATCAGTTCTACTGCATTGGTAGTGGTGGTGGTGGTGGTGGTGGTGGTGGTGGTGTGTGTGTGTAGTAAATTGCCATCTTAACAATTTTGAGTTTTCAATTGATAAATATAAAATGTCTCATTTTATTTCAATCTTCTTTAATTTTTTCAGTCAGCTTTGTTAGTTTTCAGTGTTAATGTGTTGCATTGATTTCATTAAATACATTCCTAAACATTCTGTTTTTGAAACTATTATGAATAGAATGCTTTTCTAAATTTCATTTCCACATTGTTCAATATCATAATAATAATGAAGATACAAATATCAATTTATATTGATCTTTTATATTGTGTGAACTTCCTAGGTTTTTTTGTTTGTTTGTTTGGTTTTGGTAGGCAAATTTCTTAGCATTCCCATATCCAGGATTATATCAATTACAAATAAAGTCTTAATTAACAATCATTTCTAATTGGAAAGCATTTAATTGATTTTTCTTGCTTGATTGCACTGAATGAATATGCATTAAAAAGTTGAAATATAAGTGGAGAAAGAACACTATCTCATTTCCAATTTTATGGGAAAAAAATTCAGCTTTTCATCATTAAGTTTATTGGTAGCTATAGGTTTTTTGTTGTCTTTTATCTGACTGTGAAAGTTTCTCTGTATTCCTTCTTTGCAGAGAGTGTTTAATCTTAAAAACTGGTTGCATTTTTTTCAAATATTTTTCATTTCATCCACCTATTGACATGATTCTATATTTCTTCCCCATCATTCTATTAATATAGCATATTACATTAATAAATTTTCATATTACACTGACCTTGGGTCATATTTTTATTCTTCACCCAATGTTTAGCTTTTAATTGGTTGTTTAGACCATTCCCTTTAAAAGCGATTACTGTTACCGTTGTTATCTTCAAATAATAATATATGACACAGTAATAGCTCACCCTCTAATAACAGTATACTGCTTTTCATGTAGTGCAGGTTTATTATTATCCCAATTCCTCCATCTTTTGACATAGCTGTTATTCATTTTACTTATACATATGGTATAAATACTCAATACATTTTTTGTATTACTATTTTAAGTAGACAGTTATATTTTAGTTCAGTTAAGAATAAAAAAAAATAAAACTATTATTCTTTTATTTAATTATTATTTATTTATTTTTTGATACTCTTTAATTATGTAGATGCTTTTCTGACACAGGTACTTTTTATCTTCTCTGAAGAACTTCATATAACATTTCTTGTGATTCATTTTAAGTTTTGTTGTTATTGAATTATAGAAGTAGTTTATATATTTAAAATATAATCTTTATCAATATATAAATTATAAATATTTTCTTTTGGCTATTCTTATCCTTTCCTTGATGATATCTTTTGGAGAGAAAAATATTTTAATTTTGATGTAGTTCATTTTATTCATTTGTATTTTTACAGGATTTGGTACAATTCCAAGGACATCTTTGCCCCATTGCATAGTAGTGATGAAAACAGAATTATATGTCTTGTTCCTGATTAAAGGAACAACTTGAATCATGATATTATTAGTGGGTTATATATACAGGTCTATCAGATTGAGGAACTTTCTATTTCTAGTTAGACGAGAATGTTTAGCACAGATCAGTATTAGATTTTATGAAATGCTTTTTCTGTGATTATGCATTTTTTTCTTTTCTGTTGTTTGAATTAGAATATTTTACACATTAACCCAATCTTGCATTCCTTGTTAATTCCCACTTCATTATGGTGTTTAATCATTTTTATATAATTGTAGATTTGGTTTGCTAATATTTGGTAAGGATTTGTGCATCTTTGTGATGACTTTGTTTGGCTTTGATATCAGGGTAAAACCTGCCCCACGGAATGAGTTAGAAAGTGTTTTACTCTTCTCATTTTCTATAAAGTTTGTGTGGAATTAGCATTAATTTTTCTTTATATAGTTCATAGAATTCATAACTAAAGCCATCTGGCACTGAGAGAGAGAGCTCTGTCTGTGAATTGGGGCGCACATTTAGATTTAGGCAAATTTAAAGATCCTTTTCGCTTCTTTGGCCAGAGGCCGTCTCTCACCAGCTCCTGGCTGGAGGTGGCTTGTTCCGCACGTGCTGACCCCAGGGGGAGCCAGGTGGCTGGGGTGTTAGCTCCTGTAGTGGCGGTGAGGGCTCTGGACCTGGGCCTTGCTGACCAGGGTAAGGCTCTGGTGATCCTGGGCCCGACTGCAGCTGATGTCGGAGGGGGACCCCCAGGCCAGCTCCTCCTCACTCTGGGTCAACTCCGCATCTGGTTCTTCTTGGCTCCAGGAGAACTTTGAGGACTCCTCGCTTGGCTTTGGCTGACGTTGGGGGGCTTCAGGACTGGACTCTGGCTCCCTTCGGGGAGACCCCTGGCCTGGGTCTTGCTGACACTGGGGGAACCCTGGGCTCGAGTCCGGCTCCCTTCGGGGAGACCTCAGGCCTGCCCCCTGCCCTAGACTAGGGTGATCCTGGGCATGTCTCCAGCTGACATCGGGGGCATTCCAGGCTGGGTTGCCGCACACGCCGAGGAGACCTGGGCTCACTCATTTCTTCTGGGTTCGATTCGAACTCCACAAGCACTCGTTTCGCCCACAAAGTTGAGGTGATGCTCTCGGGAGTCTCAGCCTTTAGGCCTTCCAGCTGTGGGCTGCGCTTCAGCGGTGTATCCATGGCCCAGCCTGTAACCACCACCCCCCTGCCCCTCCAATCTGTGTTTACACTCTCTCTTAAAAATTTGCTACTTTTACTCAAAATGTTGCTGGTGATATTTTTTTCTGTCCTTCTTACCGTATCAAGAAGACATTAAGTTTATCAGCTTCCATGCCCGGGCCTGCCCTGATAAAATGACAGCCTCAGCTGAGCTGGGAGAAGGCTGAGCTTGGCCACCAACTCAAGCAAGAAGACCTCTCACTATTCTTACTTGATTTTATAGCAGCTTTTTATAAATGCTTCTCAATTTGCTATTTGCTATTTATCAGTTTTTATAGCCCTGAAATGGCTGTTTCTACCAATTTGCCCAGTTTTATACTTGTTTAAAGGGGAGATGACTTAACCTGTATCTTCTCTTCCTCACAGTCTCCTCATTTAGATTTATCTACATCATTTTATTGTTTTGTATCTGATTTATCACAAAATCTAGCAATATGCCCGTGATAAACACTCTCATCTAACTAAGACTAGGAATGAAGCTTCTCAATCAGGTTAAAGCTATATGTATTTTGTACTTAAACAAGTTATAGCTGGGATAATTTCCTTCAATGTGAAGAACTCAGTTTACATTTATTATTTTAGTTAAGACTGCTAATGAAAACTTGTTTTAATTATTGTCTAAAAATGTCACATTTCATTCTGAAAGATGTTTTCTCTGCATATAGAATGAAAAGACAGTAGTTTGCCTTACCTTTGAATCTGTCATTCAATAATCCTGGATTCCAATATTTCTTTTGGAAAGTCAGTAATTTGCATTATTGTTTGTTTGTTATTAATGCTTTTTAATTTTCCAGTTACTTTCATAATTTGTGTGCTTTACAGCACTATCATTATAATGTATTTTATATTAATATTTATTGCATATACTACTTCTTGAGTGGATCTCAAAATCTTTACCCATAATAGTGAGTGAAAGTATTATGTTTAAAAAATTGAAAAGGAAATCAAGTAAGACTGATAATTATATAAACTTTAATCATTTTTAGGGTAGAAAAAACTGTAAATTGATTATTCATAAGAATCAAAAAAAGTGAAAGAATCATTACAAAAAAGTTTTCAGGTTAACTAAGAAATAGTTCATAATTAATAAAATGTTCAGCTATTATTAAGAATGCAGGTAAAGTCCTGGCCGATTTGGCTCAGCGGTTAGAGCGTTGTTCCATGGACCAGAGAGACCAGGGTTCTGTTCCCACTAAGGGCACGTACCTTGGTTGCAGTTTGTCCCTGGCCCTGGTTGGGGTCGTGTGGGTGTCAACCAGTCAATGTGTCTCTCTCACATCCATGTTTCTCTCTCTTCCTCCCTCTCTCTCTCCTGCTGTATCTGAAGATAAATGCAAAAATGTCCTCAGGTGAGGATAAAAAAAAAAAAAAAAAGTAAAGCCCTCACTTTTTTGGTGTTTCAAAATTAATTGCATACATCTTTTTTCAAAACTTCAATGTTTCATTTACATCTTTTTGCTTTAAAAATAATATTCTAATATTTTTTGTTTTTATAACTAATGATTTTCTTTTATTGGTAAATTATAGAGATATAATGTGTGGAAAATTACTATGTAAATATACAGGTGAAAATGCACTTGAAATTCGAAATGCCAGTACTATTTATACTAACATACAAGGACAAATCTGCGTGTCATTGGAATATGCATATGATCATGAACAGAGTGCACAAATGTGGGTAAAAGATGGAACTATTTGTGATACAAATAAGGTATGTAGATTTTTGGTCCCAAATGACTTTCTAATTTATGCTCTTTTTTTAGATGCATGGTTAGTATTTTTCTCATAATTTAAGTGCACAATTTCAAAAATAAGAAAATAGAAAAAAATTAAGTTAAGAAAAAACTAAAACAGAAAAATATATAATCTGCATTCATGCATAGATGTTATATCCATGAATGTTTTATTGACTTTTATCTTACAAATTGTGTATATTCACTGATTTGAGAAACATATTGTTCATTCACTCTATTTTGTTAAATTATATTGCATAAAGTACTTCTAATGACATGATCTATCTTATAATATAATTACTTTTAAATAATTGTTAAATAATATATGTCCATTTTAGTGATGAAAATAATATAGAATGTATAGAGTAAGCCAAAATTAATTGAAGGCACTTATCTGAGGTATAACTACTCTTTCTGTTTTTATGAGCATTCTATCAAACACTATATATGTTATATATATATATACATAATACTTACCTAAATATATCAACAACAGTGACATATTTTTATAAGAACATCTCATCTTATTATCTGATTTTGTTATTTTATTATTTCATAGTAAATATAGATATGTATCAACATTTCTGTCTTCCTAGATTTTTCTCTATGAAATATATGTTACTGTTGTATATATACATACATACACAACAAAACTGGTTTAAATTATTTTCATATCTCAGTTTTAAGTTATAAAGTCTCTTTAGTCTAATAAGAAACAACATATTAAATTACTTAATGAAGAACAGAGCAAAAGGCAAAAGGTAATTGACCTGGGAGCAGAAGATTTTTTTTGTAAATGAAGTGTAAAATTTTATGTTTTGGTTATACCAGATATAAATGAAATCTTACATTTTTCTCATTTTAAATGTAAATCATTATAAATGATTAAAATATATTATTTTTACATGATATTCATGGAAATGCTGTCATACATAATAAAATCTTATTGTAACCTAATTTGCTAAAATTCATTTTAAAATTAGGAGTAAAAAATGTAAAAGTTGTTACCCAAAATTCTCACACAAAACTCGGTCTTTTAAGAACCTTTGTAATAAGTTTGCTTTTATGAAATTCACTTTGCAAAATGTTTACCAAATTGTTGCCTAAACTGTCTTTATTTTTTTATTTATTTTTAAATTTTTTATTTATTAATTTGTTTTTGTTACAGATGTTTCTCATTTTCCCCCCACTGACACCTTTCACCCCTTCCACTCCGCCCTATCCCCAGCTTTGTTGTCTATGTTCATTGGTTATGCATACATGCATGTAAGTTCTGTGGTTCATATCTTCTCCCACAAAACCCCCCTCCTCTGAGGCTTGTCAGTCTGTACCCCACTTCTATGTCTCTGGGTTAATTTTGTTCAGCAGTTTGTTTAGTTCATTATATTCCAGAAATAAGTGAGATCATGTGATATTTGTCTTTCTCTGCTTGGCTTGTTTCACTTAGCATAATATTCTCCAGGTCCTTCCATGCTGTCTCAAGGGATAAGAGATCTTTCTTTCTTACAGCTGCATAGTATTCCATTTTATATATGTACCACTGCTTTTTTATCCACACATCTATTGATAGACACTTGGGCTGTTTCCAGATCTTAGATATTGTAAATAGTGCTGCTGAGAACATAGGGGTATATATATTTTTCTAATGTGAGTTTCAGGCTTTTTAGGATATATTCCTAGAAGTGGGATCACTGGATCAAATGGCAGAAAATTTTTAATTATTTGAGAAAACACCATACTGTCTTCCATAGTGGCTGCACCAGTCTACATTCCCACCAGCAGTGTACCAGAGTGCCCCTTTCTCTACACCCTCCCTAATACTTTTTGTTTGATGATTTGTTGATGGCAGCCAATCTGGCAGGTGTAAGGTAATACCTTATAGCTGTTTTAATTTGCATCTCTCTGATGATTAGCGATGATGAGCATTTCTTCTTATGTCTTTTGGCCATTTTTATGTCCTTTTTGGAGAGGTGTCTATTTAGGTCCCTTGCCCATTTTTAACTGTTTTTTTTGTCTTCCTTTTGTTGAGTTGTATGAGCACTCTATTTATTTTGGAAATTAACCCCTTATCTGATGTATCATTGGCAATTATGTTCTCCCATATAGTGGGTTCCCTTTCTGTTTTGATGGTTGTTTCCTTTGCTGTGCAGAAGCTTTTTAGTTTGATGTAGCCTCGTGTGTTCACTTTTCCTTTGTTTCTGTTGCCTTAGGTTATGTATCAGTGAAAATTCTGCTGCTTATGATTTCTGAAATTTTGTTGCCTACATTTTCTTCTAGAAATTTTCTAGATTCACTGGTCACCTTTAAGTCTTTTATCCATTTTGAGTTTATTCTTGTGTATGGTGTAAGTTGATGGTCTAGCTTCTTTTATTTATTTTTTTTACATATAGCTGTCCAATTTTCCCAACACGATTTATTAAAGAGACTGTCTTTACTTCATTGTATCCTCTTGCCACCTTTATCAAATATTAATTGAGCATAATCTTTTGGGTCAATTTTGGCTTCTCTGTCCTGTTCCATTGATCTATATGCCAGTACCAGGCTGTTTTGATTACAGTGGCTTTGTAGTATGACCTGATATCTGGTACTGTGATCCCACTAACTTTGTCCTTTTTATCAAGATTGCTGTGGCTATTTGGGTCTTTTTTGGTTCTGTATAAACTTTTGAAGGATTTGTTTGAGTTCTGTGAAATGTGTCATTGGTGTTTTGATGGGGGGATTGCATCAAATCTACGGATTGCTTTGGGTAGTATGGACATTTTAATGATGTTATCTTCCAATCCATGAACAAGGTATGTACTTCCACTTTTTTATATATTCCTCTATTTCTTTTTTCAATGTCCTATAGTTTTCTGCAAATAGATCCTTTAATTCTTTGGTTAAGTTTATTCCTAGCTATCTTAATTGTTTTGCCACAATGGTAAATGGGATTTTTTTTTTTAGTTTTTCTGTGAGTTCATTATTAGTGTATAAGAATGCCATCGATTTCTTGATGTGAGTTTTGTATCCTGCCACTCTCCCAAATTTGTTTATTAAGTCTAGTAGATTTTTGATGGAGTCTTTAGGATTCTCTAAGTACAATATCATGTCATCTGCAAATAATGACAGTTTCACTTCCTCCTTTCCAATTTGGATCCCCTTTATTTCTTTCATATCTAATTGCTGTGGCTAAGACTTCTCATACTATGTTAAATAAGAGTGGCAAAAGTGGACATCCCTGTCTTGTTCCGGTTCTTAAGGAAAATACTTGTAGTTTTTGCCCATTGAGTATGATGTTGGCTGTAATTTTTTTATATATGGCCTTTATTATATCGAGATATGATCTCTGTATTCCCACATTGATGAGCGTTTTTATCTGACATGGTTGCTGGATTTTGTCGAATGCCTTTTGAATGTCTATTGATATGATTATATTGTTTTTATCTTTTATTTTATTTATCTGGTGTATCATATTTATTGATTTGCAAATATTACACCAGCCTTTCATCCCTGGAATGAATCCCACTCGGTCATGGTGAATAATTTTTTAAGGTATTGCTGGATCAAATTTGCTAATATTTTGTTAAAGATTTTGGCATCTATCTTCATCAGGGATGCTGGCTTGTAGTTTTCTTTCTCTGTAGTGTCTTTAAATCTAATTGATTTTGGAATTAGAATTATGCTGGCCTCATAAAACAAGTGTGAAAGTCTTCCTGCTTCTTGAATTTTTCTGGAATAGTTTGAGGATAATGGGTGTTAGATCTGCTTTGAATGTTTGGTAAAACTTCCCCATGAAACTGTCTGGGCCTGAGCTTTTGTTTGGTTGGAGAGTCTTGATAACATTTTCAATTTCCTTAGTTGTTATTTGTTTGTTCAAGTTTTCTATCTCTTCTCAGTTCGGTTTTGAGAGACTTTGTGTTTATAGAAATTTGTCCATTTTGCTTAGATTGTCCAATTTGTTGCGGTATAAGTATTCATAGTATTTGTTAATGATCCTTTGTATTTTTGTGGTGTCAGTTGTTACTTCTCCTCTTTTATTTCTGATTTTGTGTATTTGGGTTCTCTCTCTTTGTTTCTTGGTGAGTCTCGCTAATGGTCCATCAATATTGTTTATCTTTTAAAAGAAAGAGTTCTTTGTTTCATTGATTTTTTTCAAAAATTTTTTTTATCTTTATGTCACTTATTTCTGCTCTGATCTTTACTATTTCTTCTCTTCTACTTGCCCTGGGGTTTTCTTTTGGTTTGCTTTCTAGTTCTTTAAGTTGTAAGGTTAGATGGTTTATTAGACATTTTTCTTGTTTCTTGAGATAGGCATGTAGTACTATGAACTTCCCTCTCAAGACTGCTTTCGCTGCATCCCATACATTTTGTTTTGTTGTGTGTTTATTTTGTTTGGTTCCCAGGAAGGTTTTAATTTCTTCCTTGATCTCCTTGGTAACCCAGTCATTGTTTAATAACATGCTATTTAACCTACATGTGTTTAAATGTCTTTGCATGTTTTTATAGTAATTGATTTGTAGTTTTATGCCATTGTGATCTGAGAAGATGCTTGATATGATTCCAGTCTTCTTGAACTTGTAGAGACTTAGTGTGGGCCTGGGGTCTGGTCCTGGGAGATGGTCTGTGTAGCTTCCATTTACTCTTCCATCATTTTAGAATCCTTCAGTATTTGATTCTTTTGAGAAGTTACGTTGCGTCACATTTTCTGAGCCTAAACATAACTTTTACTTTATCTCCAGTAACCATATGTTTATTTTCAAAGAATATGTACACCTTTTGTGGTTGTTGTCGTTTTATCATTTTAAGTACTTCATGCAAAAAGGTTTCTACAGAAACCTATTCTACCCAAGTGGCAAGAATAAGAAGATGCGTTATAGCTTTTATCTAATAACAAATAAAAAAATCTCTGTTTCGGAGAGTTTAGTGAAGAACCATTATTTTTATTATACTATTATTATGTGTAGATAAATAATTTGTGTGGTTTTTATAGCTAGATTCCTACTTTGGATGGGTTTTCTCACTAGCTTTCCTGCATATTGCAACAGAAGTAAGCATTTAAATCAGAAAACAGATTAATTTATTGCACAGAAACATGACTAATAATCTTTTCTCAACTTATTTCTAGTTTGGCTCTAATAATTTTTTAACAGGTCTGATAATTAGGTTATCTTCTTCTGGACAACAGCTCTGTAAATTATATATCTAACTTCTCTGCCCAATTTCTAGTTAGGTATTAAGTGATCATTCTTACAGAGCAGATACATTTTTAACTGCAGCAGCACTAGTCTGTATCCAGACCTGGAACATTTAGTGGTTACCACAACCGCTCAAAATAACCTGAACATGTTTGTCATCAGTATATTTCCTTCTAAGTCTTAAACAGAGGTATGTGTTGCCATAATTATCAGACACCATCAATAATGTATTTTCCCATGGTCAGTAATGTTTAGCAAAATATATGTGAGCAGATTCTATTCACTCTCTGGTCTTAAAAATCAGTATATTGGTCATATATATTTCAAGAGAAAAAATTGCAAAGAAATATTGCCAATATTATTTGGAAAACTATTTTTTTTAATAAAAATAGTATTCCCAATTATATAGTATTTGGTTTATTATCAGTTATTCTAAGGCCCTCCATGAGTGTCATCAACATGTGTTTCTTATTTTTGAAACATAGTAGCATTTAATATTACAAGTTAAAAGATGCTTTAAAAAATAATAATCTAAACTTTTGAGCTTTATGCTTAGCTTTCCCTATCTCAGTTAATTGTACCACAACCCAGAGAGTGAGACAAGCCAGAAACTTTGTTGTCATTTACCCATTTGTCTTTTCATCTTCCATTTACTAGCTATCACTAAATTTAGGTGCATTAAAATTTTTAACTATATCTCAAATATAACCACTGATTTCCATCTATTTTAAGAAAGAAGGAGAGAGAGATAGAAACATGGATGAGAGAACTTTGATCAGCCGCCTCTTGCATACCCCCCACTGGGGATCTGGCCCACAACCTAGGCATGTGCCCTGACCAGAAATCAAATTCGCCACCTTTCGGTTAATAGGTTGACACTCAAACATTGAGCCATATCAACTGGGCTTTTTTTGTTTTTAATTTCTTTTTCTTTCCATCTAAATCATTAAGACTCAATTTCACTATATGGTTATTTTCATGGATTACAGTCATGGCATTCTAATTCATCTCTGTATATTTTCTTTTGCCTTTCCATCCTTAATTTTATCAGCTTCCCATCTTTCAATTAAATCTCTAAATAAAACCATTTGCTTACAGCTATAAGCCAACTTTACAATTGAGATTGGAAGGTTCTACATAATCCTACCCTAACAACTTCTATCAGATCATACTTAGTGTTTTATGTTTGTATGTGTGTGTGTGTTTCTATATCTTTTACTGAAATATGAGCAATATGATTTTGTGTGTGTGTGTTCTCAGGGCCAAGCACATTGTAGAATTCAAATATTTAGTTAATTAATAATTTAATGGCTGTTTTTTGTGTAACAGCTACATCGCCCTTAGTATTATTCAAAATTCCCATACTGTTTCCAGTGTAGGGTTACTATAAATATTATTTCTTTTTCTATAAGTATCTGTCTTTCATGTCTATGCTTTATTAAGTTCTGTTCAGTGTTTGGAATCAATAAGAAGAGTTTACTGTTCTCACATATGAGATAAATTACTTGTATTTTTTTATGTAATTATTTTTTATTATAGTATCATATGTTAATCTTTGATTTTCTTTATTTCGTTCCCGTGACTTCCATGCCAGCAAAAGGAAGGAAGATGCTTTTATTGTTTTGTTTACTCTCAGATAATCAGAGTCTCATCTAGTGTTAAAAACACAGTAGTACTATAAATTAGTCACTTATAGTTAGTATATTAATATTTATTGTTAAATCAATACCTCTTAGATGCCAAATGTAGATGATATTTCAGTTAACTTACTTTAGCTAATTTCCTTTTTAGTTTTGCAAGAATAAGGAGTGTGTACAAAAGGACTTGACTTATGAATGTGATGCACAAAAATGCAAATCTCATGGTGTAAGTATCAGTATTATGACATAAGAATATAAATCATTAAAAGTGATCCTAGGACTGGCCAGGATGGCTCAGTGGTTGAGCATCAACCCATGCACCAAAACGGTTGCAGGTTTGATTCCCAGCCAGGGCACATGCCCAGGTTGTGGGCCCAATCCCCAGTGGGGACCATGCAGGAGGCGGCCAGTCGATGTTCTCTCTCATCGATATTTCTGTCTCTCTCCCTCCCTCTTACTCTAAAAATTAATAAAGAAGAAAACAATTAAAAAAAAAAAGTGATCCTAGGAAAGCAAACACACAGCTAAACACATACACACACACATACACACACACGTACTTCTTAACCACATAAGAAAATTGGTCTTATCTGACTTAAGTATTATTTTAATATTTTACTTGAACACAAATAAGTTGAGCTACTTATAAGGTAAAATTTCTCATTTTTTCAGAAATGCAATAATAAAAAGAACTGTCACTGTGAACCCAATTATTTACCTCCAAATTGTGAAACTCAACAAGATAATTGGCCTGGAGGGAGTGTTGACAGTGGCAATTATCCACCTAACACAATGCGTAGTCTTGGTAAGTATTAATAACAAATTGAAAACAAAATTAAAACAACATTTTAATTTATTAAATAGAATAAATAAGCGCTATTTTGTCTACCAATTTATTTTTATTTATTTAAATTTTTTATTTATTTTTTTGTTACAGATATTTCACCTTTTTTATCCCATTGGCACCCCCCCTCCAATTTATATTTAGATTATGTTTGTACATCAAATAATAAATTGTATATAGCTTTTTGACTTATATTTTACTTATAGAGAGTATGTAATAGAACATATTTAACATATATAGTAGATGAGATATGACTGTAAGGAACAAGGCAGGAAAATAGAAATCACTTCAGTCCTTTATACAGAAGGACTTTAACATAAGGCAACAGGTAAGACATGATGACAGAAATAAAAACCAGAGAATGGTGAGACAAACCAGAGATAAGCAACAGCAGAAATCCATTTTCACTTGTTGGGGTTGGTGGGACAATAAAAGGAAGTAGTAATTCTGGAATCAGAATCTGAGCCATGCTGCATGACACATAACTATGGTCAAAGTTACCTATCAGAATCTGGACCACAGAGAGAGGTACTGTCCAGCATGAGGTAGAGATATAGAGCATTCACAGCCATTATTAGGGATGTAGGAGAGGAAGGGCAATAAATAGCATGGATATTTTACTCTTCTGATTCTCCAAATTTTATTCAGTGACTTCCTGATTGAGCCAGCGACTTCCACTGACTAAATCTAACTAGAAGACAAAAAGTAAATGAACTTGAGGAATCTAGTACCCTATAATTTTTTTTTGTTATATGCAGGAATGTACTTTAGAGCAAGCCAACATGTTCAGTTATGCTTTGGGCAAGATTTTCTTTATATAAAAACTTAAATTTGCATATAATTATAGCAGGTTTTCCCAGATTTTGAGCCAGAGGTAGTTCTTAACATTTCCACATTCATTTTATTGTTTAAGGCCATATGGTAATAAATTACTAGATTACAACATTATAGCATATGTAAGTATTATCAAGCTGTTCCCATTTTAGTAGTAGTAACAACTAACTTCCAAGGGCTTATGTTCAAATCAACTGAAATTCATTGTTTCTGTTCATGCACATACATGCCATTTTGCCAATGAGCAGAGGAGACTGACTACTCCTTTCCTAGAATCCAGGTTGACCTTAGTGATGGGATTAATCAATAAATGTACAATGAGATTCTTGGACTTCCCTGGTCTTCCTGCAAATTCTGACTGGGTCTTTTAGAATACTAATTCTTGGGTCTCTCATTGTTGGAACACTTATTCTGTTGAAATTCATCTTTTCTGTATGAAATGTGATTACACTGAGACACAAAAATACAACAATACACTAAGCCCTCCCCAAATTTATGACTCACAAAATGATCAAATTTAAGTGATTGTTTTAAGTTACTAAATTTGTAGTTTCTTATACAGCTCTCTCTTTCTCTCTCTCTCTCCATATATATATGGACTGGCCTGTACACACACACACACACACACACACACACACACACACACACACACTGATATCATTGATAGCAGAAGGGTTATTTATATAACAAATATCTAAAATGTGTGGCATTAGCTTTGGAATTTGATGGTGTGTGGTAGAAAAACCTCTAGGAAACTGTTAAAAACCACTATAGTATATGGTAAAATTGTCTTTAAAAGACAGTTGGTGAGCAATTCAAAAACATGTTATTTGAAGTTGGGAAAATAAGTTTTATTATGAATTAGTGAGCTATTTTGCATCACTGCTGCCTGGGGTAATGTGAAAAGTAGAATCCATGGTTCTGAGTGGCAAGACTTCTGGGAGATTTTAAAGATTTTCAGGTGGGGGACTTAAATTACCCATGATTAAATATAAGACAGTAATAAAAAAGAATAGTTCAATTTTCAAATAAAATGTAGAGTAAATGTAAAATAGGTAATTTTTGTTTGTTTATTTGAAAAAGAAACTAATTATTATTCCTGGTCTGTTCTGGAAAAAATATATATATTTTTTTGGTACATGCCCCTAGCAGGAACTGAACCCAGGACTCTCTGGTCCGCAGGCCGATGCTCCAACTGCTGAGCCAAACTGATCAGAGCTGGAAAAAATATTCTTAAAATAATAAATGTCTAACAGCTAAATTTGAGATAGTAAGTAATAAATTTTGATCTCAGATAAAATTAAGTCAAGCACATGATTGTAAAAACTCCTCTATGAAAATCTCAGAAAAATGTAATGATGCCTCTTAGATATCTTCATCTAAACAAAAGCCCTTCTAAGTACTGCATTGAAATGCCTTATCAAAATCTCAAACAAAAAGGCTACTAAGAATCTTAAATATGTTCTCCTATGACAACCTCACCAATATTTTTTAAAAAAAGATTTATTTCAAAGAGATTTGTGAGTGTGGCCTTTATTTAATAAGACATTATTATTATTATTGTCTTAAATTTCTATAAAAATTTTAATATAGTTTATTTGAGCCAAATTGACAAACATGCTGGGGAGCAAGATCTCAACTGCTTCCTGGGGTGTATTTTTATTTAATACACAAGAAATTCATATATTTTTAAAGTTATATTAGCTCAGACTGAAAGTGATCTCAATAGCTCATGTGCTCTTTTGAGTTTCAATTAACTACAGGAAATAAGCTACTCAGATATAAAAGCAGCTATTCTTAATGGAAATAATTATAAATTAAAGGGTTTTATCAAGAAAGCAGAAGCAAAAACTTCTTATATGTGTGGGTTTATGGTTTTTTAAAATGACAACCAACACAAATTTAAAAAATATAGGTCTAGATGGTAAAAATGTAGATTAATTTCACTAAATTTTTTTCAAGGAAGAAATACCATTTAAAAAGTAGTAGTGGGAAGATTCCTATTACCTTATTTCATGAAGTAAACCTATACAGACAGAGAAGTTAAAAAATTACAGAATAATTTATTTATTATTAACTAATAAATTATTAATAAATACATAGGTTTATTTATTTCATAAACATAAATGTAAACATTCTCAAGATAATATTTGCTCATGTTATATAGCTATCTATATTAAAAAGAAAATAAACCAGCCTGGCTGGTGTGGCTCACTGGTTGAGAGTCAGCCCAGGCACAGTTTCATTCCTGGTCAGGGCACATGCCCAGGTCGTGAGCCTAATCCCCAATGGGGGGCATGCAGGAGGTGGCCAATAGATGTTCTTTCTCATTGATGTTTCTATCTATCTCTCTCTTCCTCTCCCTTCCTCTTTCTAAAATCAATAAAGAAAAAATCTATTTAAAAAAAGATATTAATCCAGACTACATGGGATTTACTTTAGGAACACACAACTCATCATTTGAAAGTCAATCAGTACAGTTCATTAAACCAACAAATTTTTTATAAGTTTATTATTATTTTGTTATTTGGTGAAGAAAAATCATTTGACAAGATGTATCACTTATTCATAATTTTTTTAAAGCAACAATCTACTAACATAAGTAAACTTCATCAGTCAGATAAAAAACATCAACAAAAAAACACAGTTAATATATTTTATAGTGAAATACATTGTTTTCCCAAAAATATTAAGAGGGAATAAAGTCTGCTCTTACTATATCTATTCAACATTTTACTGTTCAGTCCTAGACAGTGCAATAAATAGCAAAAGAACAAGAAATCAAAATCATAAAAACTGGAAAGATTTCAATAAGACTGCAGATAATATGATTGATTAGAAAGTCCTAAAGAATCTGCATAGAAAATCCTAAAGAATCTACAAAAACATTTCCAGATGTAATAAATATTATCTTAAATTTCAAAGAAAAAATGTTCAAAAGTCAGCAGAATTATATAATAGCAGCAGTAAATGGAAATCAACTTAAAATCAGTACCATTTACAATGCTATAAAAATGTAAAATATTAGGAATAAATTTAACAAAAGATGTGTAAGACCTTAGCTCTGAAATGAAAACAAAATGGAGATAAATGTTAAACATATAAGTAAATGAAGAAATTTGCCATGGGAACGCTTATTATTGCTAAAATTTCCATTCTCACCAAATTAAATCTGTAGATTTTTAAAAAACATAAAAGCATGCAACTTTTTAGATGTTAACAATTTGATTCTAAAATAATCAAAAGAGAACATAAAATAGCCAAACAACTCTGAAAAAGAATGACAAAGGATAACTTAGTTTATTTGCCTTATTGCCTTATATTGAATTTAGTATATAGTAACATTAATCAAGACAGCGTGGCATTTGTAAAGGATAGATATGCAGGTAGATCAATGTAATTAAATAGGTAGCCTAGAAATTTACCCATTAATAAGATTTATCAATTTTTCAAGAAAAGTACAAAGATTGTTTAATGTGGAAGGAAAGTCAGTTCAAAACATTGAACTGTAACAACTGGATATCCACATAAGCCCAAAGAACCTCACAAATCTTAAGTTACTTAACAATTGATATGGGATAGATTATAAATTCAAAGGAAGAAGTCAAAAGTATAAATCCTCTTGAAAGAAAGACAGGAAAAATTTTACATGATCTTGGAATAAACAATACTTTCTTAGATAAAATATAAAAATATATATATCAATGCAATAAAAGAAAAGATACTTTGGACTTTAATAAAATTTTATTAAATGACAGTATTTCTTGCTAAAAATAGAAACTGAGAAAAACTCAACTGATATGGGGATCACACTTTCATTCTGTTTATCTGTAAGACCAGGCAGTTCTGTGAAGAGACTACATGGAATAAAAGGTTCTCAATCAAAAGCAAAGGATGGAACTATTATTGTAAGAGTTAGAAGGTCTCTTTGGGCACTGACCCTGCCAACTTATTTACTTCATAAAAATATTAACTAAAAAGTTACTAGGTAGTTAAAAGTTTTATTTTAATAGTTACATTGAAATACAGAAATGTCTTGCTATATTTCTCATAATTACTTTTAAATCACTGATGTTTTCTTTCCTAGATATACCCTATATTGAGAATGCTTACTCTCACAGACCTACAAGATGGCCATTTTTCCTACTCATTCCTTTTTGCATTGTTCTCTGTGTAATGATAGCAACCCTGGTAAAAGTTTATTTCCAAAGAAAAAAATGGAAAACTGAGGAGTATACAAGCGATGAGTATATTAATTTCATATTTAAGATTCATTACTTTTATAATTTTTAGCATCCATAGTAACTTATTAATAAATCATTGATGTTACTAGTATTAATTCAGAGTTATTTTATCTTTAAATGGAAATTTAATGTTAAATATATTAAAGATTAATATAATGACTAATGAACAGAATTTTTTAAATGTCAGCAATTTTAATCTTATAACAACTTGGACTCTGTTAGGGGTAAAATTAAGTGAAAATATTTCTAGTTAATGTTTATTTACCTCTTTTATTTTATCTTATTTACTATGTATTAAACATTACTACTTTATTCTTAATATTTATGTATTTCAAAGAACTTTACCTACACTATTTTATTAAAAGGTAGCAGAGAAATCTAGGAGAGTAGTGAAGTCAGTCAGTCAGAGAAAGATGAATACCATAAAATTTTACTAATCTGTGTAATCTAAAGAACAAAATAAATGAACAATCAAAATGGACACAGACTCATACAGAGAAAAGACTGGTGGTTAACAGAGGGGATACAAGTTAGGGAACTAGTTACAAAATAGTCATAGGAATGTAAAATACAGCATAGGGAATGAAGTCAATAATACTGTAATAACTATGTATGGTGCCCAGTGGGTACTGGAAATATTGTGGGGAACAAAGTATATAATTGTCTAACCACCATGCTGCATACCTGAAACTAAAACAAAATGATATTGACTGTAAGCTATAATTGAAAAGAAAAATAAAAAGAAATAAATAGGGCAGATGATGAATGTCAAAAAAGTTTAGTTGTTCCGCTAGTAATGTTATAAATATGAAAAGGACCTAAGTTAATTTTCAGGTAAATTTACCTCACTGTGCTTGTTTCTCCTGTTAGTCTGAATTAGCAGTGAGAGATTAAGTGTTAAAATAATCTCAAGTAGCGGCTGCTCGCAGATCTCAGATAGGAATACAAAACTGTTTTAGTACTGACAGATGGTACAGAGCTTTGTATAGTAATCTTTGAAGAAAATATAATTTTAAGTGATTATATTTTATTTTAAATGTACAGGGAACTTGAAAGTAAGAGTGAACCCAAGAGCAGCCTGGAGAACAGCGAATCCATAGTATTATAGTGAGTAACAAATATTTTAAGGATGAGATGGAGAGATAGAGAAAATGTAATGTATTAAATTAATATAAATAATATAAATGTATATTAAATGGTAGTAGTCATTTAGATGCATATAATAAAACTTAAATTGAAGAATATTTTAATAGATTAATAAACAATAAATGGCATTCAATTCATTATTTAAACTTTTTTGCAGTGTTATCTTTGAAAATTTTTTCAAATAATATTTAATTCTTTAGCATTTATGTATTCAAATATTGGTTAAAATAAATTACATTAAAGAATTCTATAATGAGGTTACCCTCATGCTATTTGTTGAATTAACCATCAGTTTTAACTTGATTGGGCATACAGTTGACTTTTTTCCTTTTATTTGTTTTTCCAGAGTAATTATCTTCAATGAACAAGAAAAATGAAAACGAAAGAGAAACTATACATGTATTGCCTGATTGCTTGGGATTCAAAACCTGGATATTATTGTTTTGATCATATAAGAAAAAATAGAATTTGTCATATACAATTTGTTATATTATTTACATATCATATAATATTTATATATGTAAGAAATGCATGTTTATGAGTTTTTATATTACACATTTTAAAAGTTATCTCACTAATTCTGTTAGTCAGTCGAAACTAACTTAATCAGCAGGCATGAGATGAGAAAAGTTTACAGTATAATGAATGTGATGCCCTAATTAAAGACCACTTTTATATTTTTTAATTGCAAAGATATGTAGTTATGTTATTATCTGATCCATAGCTAATCAAAAGAAGTCCTACGATCTGTCATCTACAAGCTGGAGAACAAGAAAAGCTGATAATGTAACTCAGTATGAGTCTGAAGGACTGACAACTGTGGAGCCTATGGTGTAAGTCCTAGTCTGAGTCCAGAAAATCAAGAACCACAGTGTCAATGGATATCAAGGGCAGGAAAAGATGAATGCCCAGCTCAAGCAGAGAACAGATTCACCCTTTCTCCACTTTTGTTCTATTTAGGCCCTCAAGGGATTGGACAATCTTCATGCAGTCTATTGAATCAAATACTAATCTCTTCCAAAGACACACTCATAAACATACTCAGAAATAATGTTTTGTCAGATACCTGGGCATCCCTAAGTTGACAGAAAAAAATTAATCATCACTAGTCTACACCTTGGCAACTTGGCACCCAAATCCATCTCCTTAAACCATACTGCTCTCCAAATAAAGGACATAACTCTGTCTAACATGATATAACTATCTTACATGTTACCAAAAATGCACTAATTTCTTCCTGATGAAAGCATTTCTGCCTCTGAGACTAAGACCTCTAGGCTAGCAGAGCATACAGTCATGGAAACAGGAAGCAAAAATTTTGCTAGAGGGGTTACTTGGGGTAACAGTGAGTGGTACCACTTCTGGTTTCATCCTCGAATTCCTGGACCCATGAATCCTATCTATGTATATACTGGACACTGAGTGAAAGTGTCCTGGAGATCCTTTCCCCAGCTCTGAAAGCTACTGCCACTTAGCTGGTGCCATAACTGAATGTAAAAAACCATTCCACCATTCAGTCATGCCAGCTACTTCAGAAGGGTGATAAACCTGCGAATTTCATGATCAAGACCATTGCCACATTTAAAAAAAATTTTTTAAAGATGTAAAGTTAGTTTCTTGATCAGAAGCATTGACGAGTAGAATATTATGATGCTGGATAGGTATGATGGTAGTTTGGGCAGGAGCACTGCATGTAAGGAAGGCAAATCTAAATATAGAGTAAATTTGTATTACAATGAAGAAAAAAACACTGCCCCTTCCATGATGAAAGTGGTCCATCATTTGAGCTCATTGATCATCCTGGAAAATGGTGTCATATCTAGAACTCATGGTGACAGATTAGGAAATTGTCAGTGACTATAGCCAGGTTAGGCTTGGTGAGTAAAATTACATGTAGCTGTGCCCATCCATAACTTTCACCTGTGCCATGATGACCACAATGAGCTCATGGGGGATAATAGATATTGCTTAGGATAGAGGCTGTCTAGTATTCACAGAATGGGTCATTCTTTCCACCTAATTATTAAAATCCTCTTTTGCTGAGGTCACCTTTTAGTGAGCATCCACATGGGACCCAAATGTCTTCATATTTTTTGCCAATTCATATAGGTCTCTCCACATACTTTCTCCCCAGAATTTTTGTCGTTTTTCCAAGTCCCAGACCATTCAGCCAAACCACATTGAGATGTAATCACATGGCTGGCTATTTCTCTTATCAAGCAAGGTGCACAACCAGGTACACTAACTGAAGTTCTTTTTTTTTTTTTTTTTTAATCATCCTCACCTGAGGACATTTTTCCATTTTTTTGTTCAGGTAGAGTGGGAGAGAGAGGAACAGAGAGAGAAACATCGATGTGAAAGGGACACATCGAGTGGTTGCCACCCGCACAACCAACCAGGGCTGGGGACAAACTGCAACCGAGGTACATGCCCTTAGCGGGAACTGAACCCGGGTCTCTCTGGACCACAGGCCGACGCTCTAACCACTGAGCCAAACCGGCCAGGGCACTGAAGTTCTTTTTTTAAAATAATTTTTAAAATTGATTTTAGAAAGAGGAAGGGAGGGAGGGAGGGAGAGAGAAACATCGATGAGAGAGAATATTGATTGGCTGCCTCCTGCACGCCCTCCACTGGGGATCTGGCCCACAACCTGGGCAAATGCCCTGACCAGGAATCGAACAGGTGACCTCTTGGTGCATGGGTCGACTCTCCTCCACTGAGCCACATTGGCCGGGCTCACTAACTGAAGTTCTTCCTTCTCGGGAGAATTTCCTTTCACCACTCTCCTTCAATAATACCTAAGAGAGGAGCTATAATGCTGCAGCTGTTTATTTTTAGGTAGCGCCTGTATATAATGATTCATCTGTAAACTAGGCCCAAATCTTCTCTTCCTTTGCCAACTAATGGTAGAAAACCCCTTATGAAGACATAAATGCAAGCTGGGAGAGAGAGTGCAGTGTAGCAGGATTAGAGACCATGGTATTTAGACCACTTCTTCATGTAACTTACCTGTGTCTTCAGGTGCCACTTGTGCTTGATTACATATTTAACATTTCAATTTCATGACGGAGTGTTTTTGTGCATGTCCAACTTAATGGCTTTGTGAACAAGAAAACATCTAGTTCATGATGAGCAGCTGAGGTTGCATGGTATCGTGGTGGCCCATGGTTAAATATTCAGTCTCTGCTAAGGCTAAGTATCAGGCAAAGAGCTGTTTCTAAAAGGGAAAACAGTTATCTGTAATTTATTGCAGAACCTTTCTCCAAAATGTTAAGGGCCTACTCTGTGATACATCTACAGGACCTGCCAAAGTCTGCAAACATCATCCCTATCTGCCACTGATACTTCAAGACCATCAGATCTGCATGGTCATATAGCCCAAGAGGCAGAACAGTTTGTAATCCAGCCTGGAGCTTTTGCAGGGATTTCTCCTGTTCTGGGCACCACACAAAACTGCCTCAGGGGGGACCAGTGCCATTTCAGGTAATGGAGGTGGAAAGGCTGATACCACACTGGATGAGAAGGTCACCTCCACTGAGGTTTGGGAGGACACTGTTGCTGAAGATTAGGAGGCCCGTTCCACTGCAGGTGGAGAGGCCTCTCCCACAAGAAATACTCATCACAACTTAGTGGCTCAATTTCTTCAACTTTATTTCAGTCTTCTCACACATCTCCATCTGAACTTAGAGGATCCCATTATTTCCCAATTAATGTCCCCACTTAAAGAGCAGACATCCTGTGAGGCTGGGAGTTCAGCTTGCACTGTAATTCAGCCAGTCACAGAATGAGGTTCTCCATTTAATTTTTAGCAGTTTGAGCCTCCAGCTGCAAGAGACAACTCTCCCCTCACGGCACACCTAGAAGCTCTTAGGTAATTTATGAAATGCCTGATCTGGGAATTCAAATCCTTCAGCTCATCATTTACTTTTACCACATTGTCCAGCAACATTAGGAACAACCAACCAATGTTGTTAATATTTCTTAGTTTTGCAAAAATATTCAAAAGTATCATATACAGAGGTACTTGGCTTCTTCTTATAAGTGTTTGATTAGGAGTAGTCAATGCAGATATTTTTGCATATCTCTGTAAACTGTCCATGCCATGGACTATCAGTGCTCTCTCTACTACTTAAAGGCATTGGCATCTTTAAATTTAATAAGATTAGAGAAATAGTTCCAGAAATCTCAGAACCAATTCAGAAAACTCATACTTAAAATTCACATATCTGTATTAGTCAGGGATATAATTATAGGAGTTTACTCATGTGGTTACAGAGGCCAAGATGTGCCCCAATCTTTTATCTGCAAATTGGAGAACCAAGAAAGCCAGTGGAACAATCCAGTTTAAGTCCAAAGTCTAAGAATGGGAGTGAGGGTCAGGGTTGTGTAAGTCCCAGTCTGAGAACCAGAAGTGCCAGTGTCTGAAGGCAGGAGAAAACGGAACTCTCAGCTCAAGCAGTGTTAATTCACCCTTCCTCTATGAAAAAAATAAAGGAGCAATTTTTTTTTTTCTGAAGTCTTTTGTTGGCCTGTTTGTTTTAATAAGCAGTTTGGAATCATTTACTCAGCCTTACGTTAAAGTCCACGGTGGTCTGGAATTCAACTGCAGGCCAAGGTTCTTCCCTGGTGCCGAGACACTACAAAACTAACTGAAAACAAAAAAAATGCTCTTTTGAAGCTCCCTTAACCTGGGTCTTTGATATTTGGAGTAGTTGTCTCTTCAGTAGCAGCTTCAGTGCAGGTACTTCAAACAAAATTATGGAGCTTCAAAGTCAGAATTCAAAGACAACACCATCATTATTTTTAGGAAGACTTGTTCTGTATAAATAAATAATGAGAAATAACAACAACATCAAGTGTCTACAATGTCCTGAGTCAGACCATATTTGTCCTGTGATTTAGTTGATGGATAGCCCTAAGGAGAAATTTTCATTCCTGAGCTCGTGTTTAAAAAATTCCCTG